CTTCTCAAATTATCTATGGATTCAATGTAAAACTAATCAAAATCCCAGGAAGCTTTTTTTGGTAAAAACTGACAAGATGATTCTAACATTTATATGGGAATGCAAAGATCCTAGAAAAACCAAAATAATTTTGAAAACTTTTGGGGAGCTTATGACTTATTTCTTTGTTCTTGTTTCCCTGTTCTTTGTTCTTCTGATTGGTTTTCATTCAGTTTCTATTTTTAGTAATTTTGCTTTACATATATTTTCCCTTGGAACAAAAACACTAAAAAAAAATGCTATAAGTAAATGGATCTAAATTATAAATAAAGTGAGTTCTTTCACTCAATAAACCCATATGGTGGTGGAAATGCCGTAAGAATTTCATCAGATGCCAACACTTTCTTAGTGGGTAATATGCATTTACATCAATTCAGCTGTAGTGGAACAAACTGGGTTACTGGTTTTACCAATCTAATGAAATGCTAAGGTTCATACAAAAGTTCCCTCATCTTTTTAGAAGTGCAGAATTAAAAGTGGTAGCAACTTAGCTTTGTGATCAAAGTATTTTCTTTGATATGGCTACTATCATTTGCTATCACTAAAAAAATTCTATATGCATTCTAGCATATTCTCACTTACTAAAAAATAAAGAATCCATGAGATTCCATTATGATAACACTATAGATTTTTTTTTTTGAGGATGTCACTTACTTCAAATGAGATACTTTAATCATTTTGATGGGCGATTCGTCATTGCCACGTTCACCGCGAAAAGCAATGCTCCTACCTTTAATTGTAAACATCAAAGAAGGTGAAATAGCACATAAAACATCTAAGAAACGAGAAGCCATACCAATGTAACTTGATCAATTCTACCCTCTATCCTTCCATTCATTCTTTCATTTGCTGCTTAGCTGTTTCTAATAATCTAAATGCAAAAAAATCTCAAAAAAAGCATTGAAAGTTAATGACCAATAATATACTACTTATATTCAAATATCTATTTTATAAAAGGATCTTTTATCTATTAAGAGTTTCTTGAAGGAGATGGTTTCTTTAAAATAATTCACAAGTAAGGTGAGAGTTTCTTTCAAATAATTCAATTTTAACCTAGTAATAGCAATTTAAAATTTTTAAAGCATGGTAAAGCAACTGTCTACTGTAAAAAGTACTTGTTCTAAAGTAATATAAACATTCCCATGTTTCCAAATACTAACTAGTGAGGAAAAATACTCTTCCAAAAAGTATTTATGATTTCTTGTCCTATGTGCAAAACACTTAACTAAAATATTTTGATTTGATTCTACCAAAAAGATTCTATAAACTAAAACGGGGAAGTGATTAACTACAGTGTTCATGTATACTGTCAAAGAATTTGTTGAGTTAGCTGCCAAAGAAGCTAAATGGTTTTCTGGGAATAAAAAAATGTAAATTCTACCTTATGTCTGAACAAATATATCTGAGTATCTTTTCTTAGACTTTTAGAGAGAATATACTCAATTCAAACATAACTCAAGGCCTAAATGCTCCCTGCTCTTCCCTGCCACCAAGCTGAATCTCACTCTGCTCACTATTATTATACACCAGTCACCCCACCTCCTTTCCCAACTCTATTCATCTGCCTCCCTCCTTAAGAAAACAGACAAGTCTATAATCCATGAACTCAAATGTTCTACTT